GTTTTGTGAAATAGTGTCCTTTGTTAAGAATATTTAAATGCGAAAACAGCCCTGTTTTTGTTTTGGATAAGAATCGAAGTGCGTATAGTACTGTCTTGAAAACAACTTTTGCACTTCACACCTGTGATTGCTCATGGAGTTTTTCGGCGTAAAGTTGCTGCATTTTGTTAAAAGTCCATCCATCGCTTTCTTGACATTTTGGGCTTCCTATTTCTTCTTTTTTCGAATCAACGTCCTCCCGCGCGTTCATATCAACGGCGTCTATCAGCGCGTCCGTTGGTATGTCGGCGCGGTTCTGTGTTGTCCAAATTTCATTAGTCACCCATGCATTTGATAAATTGACCTAAATTTTTATGGCAGAACCTTGGCGATGGAAGACCTGTCTAGGAGCCAAGTATCTTCGTGCAGTTACTTTTTTTTTTTTTTTTTACTTTTTTTTTTAGAAAATTATCATTTTTATTGTTACAACTCGTTGGTTTACTTTCATCTCTGTCGTGATTGCGTCGTTTCGTGGTCGGATTTTTCTGTGTGTGTTATATCGACTTCCATTGTCCGTCGCGCGGACGGTGTGTTCTGGTCGTGCGCTTGATTCGCGGGAGCATTTTGGTTTAAATTGGGTGTGCTTGGAAGCGGTATCTCGCGCGCGCTCGGCTTTCGCGGAGCACTAGAGAGTGTGTCGTTGTGTGGACGGCTAGAATCAGGTTGGGTTTTGGCGTTATCTAAGTGCATGATTTGAGCAGGCTTGTAGTGGTAGTGTTGCGCTGACGGTAGATGTGTCTGATAGCGCGGCGCTTGTGGTTTGGGGGCTTTTTCCTAGAAGGGCTATTTATTAGGGCCGGATGTAAGATAAGCGAATATAGTTGGTGAGTTGCTAAATGGCGTGTTGTCGTGGTGAAGTGTGGTGAGAGCGGTGTTGGTATCTGTCGTGTAAGATAGCTTATGCGTGTCGAGGACGTAGGCATACTGCGTGGAGGTGCCTAAGAGAAGATGGAGCTTTGTTTTGGGATAAGGTGAGCGGTTGTATGCTGCGTGGGGTGTGAATGGCGTTAGGTTTCGTGTCTCTGATCGTTGTTAGACGCTCACATTGTTCTCAAAGCGCGTCAGCGGGGTGGAGATGTGTGGTGTGATGGTAGGTAGGGAGCGAGTCAATTTACACCACTATCGCGGCAAAGAAGTGCGCGGGTCTAGCAACGCTTTTCGAGTCGTAACTGTGCGAAGGAGAACAGCTTGGTGTGGTTTTCTGGTTCTTTTGTGTGTTACTGTCCGATTTCCTTTCTGTGAGAAGTATCACGTTCTAGGTTTCGCATGTGTTTTAATTTATTGGACTTGTCGTACCGCTCCGCTAGTTTTGCTGTTTCTGATTCGATAACTTTAGAACTCTAATGTCTTGCCGATCTTTAGCGTCGAGCTGAGCAGCAGTTGTAGTATGACCATGAGATTATCATCGCAGCGGTGGGATGTCTGGTATGGAAAAATCCGACATTCTCTTACTGTTTAGTTACTTTCTGTGGGACGATATCTATTTCTTGTGAACTGGTCGTTGTCGTGTTGTTGATGGAACAAGCTTGGTCACACTTAGGGCGTTTGTTCTCACTGACCTCACTTCGCCTACCATGTCTTGCTTTGCTTGGGCATCTGGGAAATCGATGTAACTGAGAGTTCTTTATTTCTGGAGGAAAGTGCCGTTCAGTATTTTTATAGCCACCAGTTTTGTGGCTGTGTGCTTTCCCACTGGTTTGTTCCATTGCCTGCGGTGTTCCTTCTTTTTGTCCCCTAGCTTTGCATTTATAGATCTATATATTTCAGTGTGACATCGATTTGGGTCGTGGGTTGTAATTGTGCCAGCGTTGATCGTTAGTGACGAATGCCAGCCAATCGGCTTTGAAGTTGGCAATTCGCCCGCTCGCAGCCGGAATCGCGTCAGTCTGCGTGTCTTGCCGTCAGCGCAGTGACTAGTCATCGCTGTCCGGTTTCCATTTTGCTACCATGCACGTTTCAATCCCCACTTGTGCACTCTTGTTTCGCTCGTTGAGCCTTTTGATCGTTTGTGCGTAGACTTCTGCACCTGAAAACACGCCGCGTATGTGGTTTGGTATTGATTAGAATGGCTTGTGGGTGGCGGTAATGGTATTGTTTGCAGTGAATCATCCGCAGCATCCGAATTTCGTCACGTCTAATTGAAATAATTTTGAATGGAATTCGCTTATAACGAACAATATCAATGGGTCTTGTGGTGGTTTACTTGTTATAGGAACGTTAGGGTTTTTTTTCGCCTAAGCGACTTTGTAGATGTCAGAAGTTGTTTAGAGATAGCGAAGTGTAAAGTATGGCTCGTTGTTTCTGCGCGATCTGATTAAAGGTCATCGAATTTTGTTCTCGAAGTCATTCGTAATTCGTTCTTCTTTGAGCCCTAGCGGACTGGAATTGCTCCCTAGCAAAGTAGGATTCCCTTTTTGTGGATAGCAAATTGAAGCTGTAACGGTGTCAAATATACTCATTCGTGATTTTGTGGACTGGGGAAAGTCAAAGTATACCTTTAGGTTACAGCGATTCGACGATTGACCCAAACTTTGTACTTTGAACGTTAAACTATTTTTACACTTTTTTCATTATTACTTGTTTACCTTTTCGGCTAGCATCGAAATTCTCAAGTACATCTTGTTACAACTATGTGTGCTGGGTATTTGATTGACGGGATCTGGCAGCAGAGTCAGGATCTTTATGACCCCTCGTTTGCTTCTCACTGTTGCTTCAAGGAGAACTGATTGTAATTGGGGACTCAGGTTACGCGCCATATGGTGTGGACTGTTGAGGGATTGCGGAGACGAAAATATGTTTCTTGGTTAGGATAGCATCTGTTTGGAACGGTTCTTGGTGCAATCCCGTCACGCTTTGTTATTTGGGATGCAGAAGTAGTAGTTTCGGTGGGAAGGCTTCTGTTTCCATACAGTTAATATTCTGTTCTGAGACAGGACAGATCCACCCGTAGAGGGGGTGGTGTATGTGCCTTAATCCACAATCTTCTCCTTTTCGAACGGGTACACATCAACTGTACTGATCTCACGGCTGACGTGATATGCTTTGACATTTTTCTAGCCTT